ACGTAAAAACGGACAGACGGAAATACGGATAGAGTAAAAGATGGACAGACAGACGGAAAGAAGATAAAATAGACAGACGTTAAGACGTCAATATGGACAGACAGAACGATAGAAAGACGTAAATATGAAAAAAAGGTTAGATGGAAACAAAGGCAGACAAACAGACGGACACATGGAAATATGGAAAAACGTAAAAACGGAGAGATGGAAATACGGATAGAGTAAAAGATGGACATACAGACAAACGGAAAAAAGGACATATGGACAGACGGACTGATGGAATGACGCAAATATGGAAAAGCGGTTAGGTGGAAATAAAGGCAGACAGACAGACTGACACATGAAAATATGGAAAAAGGTAAAAACGGACAGACGGAAATACATAAAGACTAAAAGATGGACAGACAGACAGACAGACGGAAAAAAGATAAAATGGACAGGCGTTATGACGTCAATATGGACAGAAAGACCGATGGAAAGACGTAAATATGAAAAAAAGTTAGATGGAAATTAGGGCAGACAAACAGACGGACACATGTAAATATGGAAAAACGTAAAAACGGACAGACTGAAATACGGAAAGAGTAAAAGACAGACAGACAGACAGACGGAAAAAAGGACAGATGGACAGAAGTAATGACGTCAATGTGGACAGATAGACAGAGAGATAGATGGACACATGGAAATATGGAAATATGGAAAGGCGTAAATATCGACAGACATAAGCAGACGGAAAGAAGATAAAATGGACATACGTTATGACGTAAATGTGGACAGACAGACCGATGGAAAGGCGTAAATATGGAAAAATGTTTAGGTGGAAATAAAGGCAGACAGACAGACTGACACATGGAAATGTGGAAAAACGTAAAAACGGACAGACGGAAATACGGATAGAGTAAAAGATGGACAGACAGACGGAAAGAAGATAAAATGGAAAGACGTCAAGACGTCAATATGGACAGACAGAACGATAGAAAGACGTAAATATGAAAAAAGGTTAGATGGAAATAAAGGCAGACAAACAGATTGACACATGGAAATATGGAAAAACGAAAAAACGGACAGACGGAAATACGGAAAGAGTAAAAGATGGACAGACAGACAGACGGAAAAAAGACATATGGACAGACGGACTGATGGAAAGAGGTAAATATGGAAAAATAGTTTGGTGGAAATGAGTACAGACCGACAGACGGATAGCTGATCAGATGGATTGACACAGAGACAGACAGACAGACAGAAAGAAGATAAAATGGACAGACTTTATGACGTCAATATGGACAGACAGACATAGAGACAGACAGACTGATGGAAAGACGTAAAGATGGAAAAAATGGTCAGATGAAAATAAATGCAGACAGACAGACGGACATATAGAAATAGGCAAAAACGTAAAAATGGACAGACGGAATACGGAAAAACTAGAAGGTGGACAGACAGACAGACGGGAAAAAAGACAGACGGACAGACGTCAATATGGACAGACGGAATGATGGAAAGACGTAAAAACGGACAGACGGAAATACCGAAAGAGTAAAAGATGGACAAGCAGACAGACGGACTGATGGAAAGACGTAAATGTGGATAAATGGTTAGGTGGAAATGAGTACAGACAGACAGACAGACTTACTGACAGACGTAAATATGGACAGTAATATAAAGTGATGTACAAGTGATGTACAGGTGAATAGGTGAACATGCGGTTAGACAGACACAAGAAGCCTACAACTTCGAGTCCGTATGAAGGATGTAGCGTTGGGCGGAAACATGTACGCTTTTGCGCCTACCCAGATGGGGCATGCCGAGGGTTGCTGGCGTCGGGTGTGTTTTTGGCGAAATGGGGAGCGACCGTTACCGCTGGCTTGACGACGGGCTGCGCGACGCCAAATTGGCGTCGTGGCCTGTCCCCGTGCTCGGGCCGGGCACGGGACCAAGTCACGGACAGGTTGAGTGTCGACGAGACAGACGACTGGGCGCAGTGTGAGACTGGGACAAACGCTGTGTGTGTGTGTGTGTGTGTGTGTGAAGGGAGGCGAGTTGGGCCAGGCCGTGTAGGCGCAAGGCGGAAATCAGGCCAAGAGGTACACCTCCGAGGCTGTCAAGTCGGGGCTTTGCGTCGTGGACTTTGATTGTTTTATTGCCCTCCTCCGCCTCTCTCGGACATCCGCAGAAATCACACCCACCGGCCGCAGGAACCAACTCTGCTGACCTCCTCCTCCTTCGCCTCTTCGCTGCTCGTCTCCTCTGGCCGACGAGTCGAGCCGCGCCCGACCGGACCGGACCGGACCGGCTCCGATCCCTGGCCGGTGGACACCGCCGGAAAACACACCCACGTGTGTCTTCCCGCTTCTGCCCGGCACACACCAGATTATCACCGACTCGTCCCACCGAGCAGGTCGAAAGGGGGCTACAATAAAAGTTATACAGACGCGTATTGCAGACACGTCCCTTTGGTCATTCGACTAGTGGGGTGGGCACATACACTCTCGGTACCGAGTTGCCAGATCTGACAGACACGAGGTGTGTCTATTTGTGTGTATTTTTGTTTGTGTGTGTGTGTGGAATCAAACAAGAGAGCGAGACAGGCGGCGAAAGTGGAGATGTGAAATGGAGGTGAAGACAGGCAAACAGATGTGCTAGCAGGAGAAGCAGGCGCCCTGCATGTAAACAGACAGATGACACTACAACTACATACACATACACACACATACACACACAAGACTCAGGTATGCTATGTTTAGAAGAGAGAGTAGACGGTCGGCGTTACAGGTGAACATTGTCTGAGACATGCACAAACTGCCTCTTGCCGAGAGTGGGAATGAGGCACCCAGACGCCGCACACACACAGGCAGGGATATAAGGACATACGAGACGAATAGACGGACGTACGGAGAGTATGTGGTGGGAGAAAAGCCCCTCGAAGGTAGATGATGTCTGGTCGAAATGTCGCCTTTATGCTCCGAGGTGAGTTTTATTGCTCTCGCGGTGGTCGAGCCGGTCTGCGATTGCACATATGCCCCCAGAAGCCGAGAGCCCTGGTTGTCGGGGTGCCCGCGGGGGTGGGGAGCCAGAGCAATACCGGCCAGTCCTACCGGAATGGTCTGGTGCACGGGGCGGAGCAGAGTGTATGCCGGCCATCTGGGGCTGTTTTGATGCGGCCGACTTGGCAGTCGTGACTGCACCCGTCGGGAGGCGAGAAATGGTACCGACGTGAGGCCGCGACAAAAGTGCCACCGCATCGCAGACCTCGAAAGCAGACGACCCATTCTGGTTGCTGCGCCGAACTCCGCCGCCAAACGGTCTGGCGTCAGATTCGGTGAGCACTGATCAAACATACTTTGTCGCCTCGCGTCAGTGAAGAAGAGTCAATTTGAGGCAGAGGAGAAAAAGAATATAGTTTTATACGTGTCAAGTCTGATTATGACGAAACTGGTGAAACTATATGAGAAGTTTCGGTATACGGATAAAAAATGAATACGTTTACGGAAATAAATAACAAATTTATAAGAGCTGGATTAGCCATATTTAGTTTGAGATGATAAAGTTGTGAGAATCGAATTTTCACACAAGAATATGAGTAAATCTTCCGTTTCCATTCAAGTTCACACAGCCTTGCTTGCCAAAAAGTTTATTCATCCAGACAGGAGTGGGCTGCAGTTTCGACTTTGCCCTACCTGGCGTCATCAACATCCCCAACGGGACTCGAACCTGAGTTGGTGTAATGCACTGTCTAAGCCCTTCCAGCCGATTTTGTATTCGAAACGAAAGGCCTTTATACAATTTGAGTAAAGGACTATTCGAAGACACGATTTTCGTCATACATATTTATTTATTTATTTATTTAAGGCACAACCCAGCATACAGAGTTCCGTAATAACGAAATTTCTACGATAACGAAAAATTTTATTCATAATCCCAGTCAAACTGCTTTTTTATTTATACGATAAAACGATATATATATATATATATTATAATACACTATAATCTTTTTGCCTTCTGTCTTCAAGTTAACGCGTAGTCAAGACGACTAGACGACTTAAGCCTACATGATGAAGCGCCAAAAAAGGAAAATGAAACAAATTATATATAAGGAAAGAAAGAAAGAAACAAGAAATAAAGAGAGAGAAAAAGAAAGAAGGAGAGAGAAAAAGAAAGGAAGAAAGGAAGAGAGATAGAAACGAAGGAACAAATGAAAGTAGAGATAGATAGATAGATAAATAGATAGTATCATAGATCGATAGATTGATAGATAGATGCGTAGTTAGATAGATGAATGGATAT